TCTTCGACCATTTGACTTACTAACGTATCTAATTAAACCTCCTGGAGAAACACATGTCACAAATATAACAAAGTTATTAGATTTATGCTTAAATATTTTTAATATCTCCGTCAGCAGTGATAACAGTTTGTAATCTTCGGTCCATCTGAGTGAAAGGAATTATGATATTTTCTTCTTCTGAGAGATCTTCCCAAACCTGTTGTATATCGTATCACACCTCTTCAGCATTTTGAAGTATAAAATTACGTCGATACAAACTATTATATAATAACCCCCCACACATTCTCGATTAGGATAACTATCTTGTTGGAGGATAAAATTATTTTCTGGATACAACTGTTCTACACTGGGAAACACGATGTTTTCTAGAATATTCAGATAAGTCTGCTCAACAAACCTGCCATCTATACGCCAATACATTCCCATTTCTCTAGATGAAATCCATCCCCATACATTGGCGCTAAAATAACCATGGCTAACCAGCTGCTCGATATCAACATATAGAGGATTAAATCTATTATTATCTGGTCTACACACCCCGATTTTGCCCTTTTTATAATATTGAAAAATGTTCTTCTGTAAATATTACCCAAACTGGCATGGCAAGTGGCAAGTAGCAAGTAACGCGCGTCTAGCATGTTACTTAAAATGTAACCAATGAAAACGAATTATTCAGCGCACACCAAAATGACAGTGACGTCATTCATTATAATCATTCGTTTGCATTGGTCATAGTTTAAGTAACATGCTAGACGCGTGCTACTTGCTACTTGCCACTTGCCACGCCAGTTTGGTGGACGCTCTCACTAAGTCTATATTGCTTCTATCATAGTATAAGAGCTTGTTTTTTTGCTGCAGTTTGGTACCTAACACGTGATGCTTTAATTCTGCGACAAGTTGTTGTCTTTCTTCCCGGAAACTGTGACATAATTCCTGCAATCTTCAAAAGGATTCTCTTCTGACATTGTCATTGTCATTGCCATTCAGTTGCTCCCATACAGTCTTCGTAGACACACCGTCTCAAGACTAGCAACTTCAACGTGGAGTCATATGTCGCCATGTTACCTAATCCAACGGTAACTTTAACATCTTAAATCATTATAAGAAATTTTGTAAACCAAATGTAATCAATTATTTGTTAACGGGTTTTTACCCATATATTTAGTGGCTACATTCATGTATTCTTAGACACTGATGATGGAATATGGATTCCGAAAACGTTTTGTCTATTTAACTTAGCCCGATTGGGTTCTTAATATATACCTTTTACAAAGGATTTTTAATAATTTTTTTAATATATGGTATACAGCCAACTACAGGAACGTAGATTCCTTGTGGATTAAGAAATAAATATTCAGGAGGAATAGGTAAAGGAAGTATTAGAACGAACTCATAAAGTACGGAGGACCAGATCTGACCAAATAACTATTAAAACTAATCCAAAAAATAATAGAACAAAACAGAATTCCTCAAAAATGGAGATTAAGCATCTTAATACCTCTTAAATGGGAGACAAATCGGATCCGAAAAATTACAGAGAATAGGCAAGGGGAAACCACTACATTAAATATCCCTATGGATTTCCCCAGGAAAATTATCATGGCTTTCGGTAGTGATAAGGAATATGTTACTGATCATGGACTTCGGAAGTCAAGATCCGGCAAGGGAGGATACCCAGAATGCAAGGCCTCCCAGGTCGACATCATGCGAAATCCCTGCAACAATAAAACAATTTTGAAGAGTAAAACACCTAAATTGAGATGCTTACAAATCGCCACTTGGAACGTTAAAAGTATGTACGAAAGTGGCAAAGCAAATAACATCGTAAAATAAGTCTAGTGACTCAAAATCGATATATTGGGTATCAGTGAAACTCATTGGCCCAACTCGGGAGAATGTAATATCCTAGACCATGCAATGTACTTCTCTGGTAACGATACCCCTAAACAGAATCATGGAGTTGGAATAATCATTGCACCTCGTTTAAAATCGTCAATAAAATCCTACACTGCACTATAAGACCGAATGATTCTTTTACAGCTGTATGTGTCCCTATTTTACAGCTGACAAAGAGGAAACAATAATGGAAGACTTCTACGAACAACTAGAAATATTAATTATTGCAACCAAAAAGAATGAAATAACACTTATAATGGGAGATTTCAACGCGAAAGTAGGACGAGGCAAAACAGGAAAGGTAGTGGGAAATTTCGGACTTGGTGAAAAACACGAAAGAGGAGATCGTCTGGTTCAATTTTGCAAAGAACACAACCTAGTACTTGCACCGTAGATTCTATACCTGGAAATCACCGGCAGACCCACCTGGTAAAATAATCAGAAATCAAATAGATTATATCGCTGCATCAATCAGGTTTAGAAACTCAATCAAAGCCGTAAAAACTTACCCGGGTGCGGACGTAGCATCAGACTACAATCCGGTGGTATGTAAGTTTGAAGTAAAGTTAAAAAAGCCAAATGTAAAGAACAGGCCCGAAACGCTAGATATTAGGAAGCTTTCCAATAATAATATTAAACAACAGATGCAGGAGAATTTAAATACCGAAATATCAAAAATCCTTAAAAATAACAATGAACCGCTGGAAAAGTGGAGTGAAATTAAAGAAGAGATTATGGTTTCAAGCACTAAGTTTTTACTACCTGATAAGAAAAAAAAGAAAGACTGGATGACTGCAGAAATCCTTGACATGATGGAGGAGAGACGGATATATAAACCTAAAGATACTGCCAAATACCGTGAAACCCATAGACGAATAAGAGCTGAGATAAGAAAAATTAAAGAGAAATGGTTCTCGGAGAGATGCGAAGAAATCGAACAGTGCGAAAAGGTATACGACCATCACAATATGCATAAGAAGATAAAGGAACTCAAAACAAAGAAAAGCTACAATATTTTATCGAAAGGGCTGTGCGATGATAATGGAAATCTACAACTAGACCTCGACAAAATAGTTAGAATCTGGGAAACTTATGTGGAACAACTGTTTAATGATGACCGTCCCAGTGGGTGTACACTGAGCAATGATGATACTGGCCCTTCTATTCTAAAATCAGAAGTGGAGAATGCTATAAAGGGTCTAAAAAATAACAAAAGACCAGGCAACGATAACGTATACGGGGAAGTATTAAAAATGCTGTGCGAAATAAACAGTCAATTTCTAGACTCACTCGTCAGACTCTTTACCAATATTTACAACAGTGGGGAGTTTCCTAAAGACTGGCTAGAGTAAACTTTTGTTGCCATACCGAAAAAACCAAAAGCAAAGTCTTGTGATCAACATCGGATGATAAGTCTAATTAACCACATTTCGAAGGCATACACCAAGGTTATTTACAACATAATAAGCAAAAAATGCGAGGATAACATTGGAGATTCGCAGTTTGGGTTTCGGAATTCTCTTGGGACAAGAGAAGCACTTTTTAGTCTACAGGTACTCATCCAGCACTGCAGAGATATGAACAAAGACGTGTAAATATGCTTTATAGACTACGCAAAAGCATTCGATAACGTAAGGCACGAAAAGATAATTGAAGTTCTCCATAAGGTCGGAGTCGACTACAGAGACATTCGAACAATAGCGAGTCTCTATTGGGGTCAAACAGCTAAAGTGAAAGTAGGATCTACATTGACCAATAAAATAGAGATCAAGAAAGGGGTACGACAGGGCTGTATCTTGTCTCCAATTCTCTTTAATATACACTCAGAAGAAGTATATAAGACAGCGCTGGAGGAAAGCACAGAAGGCATAAAGATAAATAGAGAAATAATTAATAACATAAGGTATGCTGATGACACTGTGATTATAGCAAGTAGCATGGAGGAACTGAGTTGCCTAATGAGTAAGATACAAAAAACAAGTGCACAATACGGACTCAGACTAAGTATCACAAAAACCAAATAGATGTTAGTAAGCAAAACCCAACAACCACCACAGCAACTGATATTAGACAATGAAAGAATTAAACACGTGGATTCGTACATCTACTTGAGAACAACAGTTAACTCAAATTGGGATCAAGCGAAGGAAATACGTATAAGAGTAGAAAAGGCAAGAGCATCGTTCACTAGCATGAAGCAAATTTTCACCTCTAAAAGCCTCACCCTACCTCTCAAAATTCGACTTCTGAAATGTTATGTATTCCCGGTTTTGTTATATGGAATGGAGGCGTGGACAATGACCGCAACATTAATGAAAAAAGTAGAGAATAAGTATAAAGAAAAGAAAGTTGGAATACTTGGGTCACGTTATGAGACATACTAAATATAGAGTACTACAGCTGATCGTTCAAGGGAAAATAGACAGCAGAAGGGGTCCAGGGAGGAGAAGGCACTCGTGGCTCCAAAACTTGCGGCAATGGTTTGGATTGTCATCTGCTGAACTATTCAGATCTGCCGTAAACAAAGTCAGAATAGCCATGTTGATTGCCAACGTTCGGAACGGACATGGCACATGAAGAAGAATATGAAAATAGGACGGCTGCGTTGGATAGGACATGTAGAAAGAATGGAAGAAAGCGAAATACCAAACAAAATATTCACACAGATGCCAATAGGAAAAAAAACCAGAGGGAGACCGAAGCTGAGATACTTAAAACAAATAGAAAATGATATAACAACCTTAAAAATAAAAAACTGGAGAGAAAAAGCACGAAACAGATCAGAATGGAAAAGAATCCTGGAACACGCCAAAAGGGTTGTCGAGCCAGTGATGATGAATAAAATAATATAACATTATAAAAATATTCTTTATTTACAAAACAGATAATATACATCACAAATGTTTTTAAAAGATTTTGGTTAGGCACATAGTATTTTTAAAAAATAGTATTAACAACATTTTGAACAAGGTATGTTTAAAATTAAAAATTATACTTAATTTTTAATTAACCTAATCTAGCAGCCATCACTGCTATAACTAGAACGTAATAATATAAGAAAATAGTAACACTTTTTTATTATGCTATTATAGTTTCATTCCGCAGTTTGAAATCTTTAGGCAGAAAAATGATTAAATTTTTCTGCGGAAAAAACATCAAACGGAAAAAATTATCATTAATTAAATACTAACTTTACAACAAACATTAAAACATAAAAAAATTATAAAACTCAAAATAGTCTTAACCAGTCTTTGGTCATGTTTTACGAACGAATATGGAATGTTCAGTACGGAATTTTCAATGATTTTTTTAATAACGGTATAAATAATAATAATAAAAGTTAAAAAAAGGATATTCGTATTATATTAACAGGTCATTCCCCAACGTATCTTTGTAAAATAAATAAAATTAGACAATTAGAGTAATGTATTTAGACTTTTTTACGATTAAAAAACGTTTTACAAAGAAACATTTTAGGGAGATTATTAACGAAGACTAAGGAAGGACAACATCGTATATTTTGCTTATTTCTTTTTGTATCCAAAACTGCTCATCAACTTCATGTGATCCATGTGATCTTCGATGACGGGATACCAGTCTTTGCCCGAATAGTCAATGGCTGGCAGTTCCCCATCGTAGTTCTTGGGCAAGTGTGATGGTGCCATAAACTTGTGAAGGGAGGACATTTTCTTTCCGTGGAAAAAGATCTGTAATAAGAAAATAATGAAATAGTAAATATGAATTGTTCAGTAAAATATGAAATTTCTAATTAAAAAAAACTGAAGGCGGTTGGATCAGATGGTACGAAAGCAATGAAAAGTTGTGAAACTGCAACACTACCAGTCCTCCACTTTATTTAAAATCAATATTCACGAGGCATTACAGAAAATATCTGCAAGTACCAAAGTACTTTTTTACCCAAATAGTTTATCAATCTTCTGTTGAATGAAAATCTGTTGATGAAAAATAATTAAGTTGTCACCATCAAAGTTTGGAAAGCAAATGTTAAGTTTGAAAAAAGGGTATTGAAATCAGATTAAAAGAATTCAGTTTTAACTGGAATTTTTAAATGTAACTTTGCTGTTTCCACTACTTTTGTCTATTCTTTTCTCTACTTGATTGTGTAGCATTTTCAATTTAATTGATTCTTTGAAGTATATTGAAGTCCCCTTGTATACGAAATATTAAAATCACCTTACATATTTTTGATAGATCTAAAAATATTTCGTACGTATTTAAACCCAAATATCTTTTCATTTCTTTCTTAGGTCGGCCAAGTTGAAATAAACCATTTTAGAGTTGTTTATTTGTTTAATTAGAAGCCGCAATTAATAATGCGTCGCAAAAGGATATGTATGTCGTTTCGAGGTGTCTTGTTATGTCAGCGTTTGTATGTATGCGTTCAATTTTAATAGAATTTCTTCACTATTGTTGGAGCCGCGGTGAAAAGCGGTCAACGTTATGTCCGAATTTGACTTCAAATTCGAAATGTTCCTCGTTGTTTGTGTTTTTTTATGAAGACGTTTGTTTTTTTTATGAAGAAAATGTGTAGCAGTGTGAAGTTAATGGTTCAGTAAATGTTTGAGTGAGGATTGGAAGAATCGTCGATTCCATCCTCGTTTTGTTTCTCCCTGGTTATCATCCAAGGCTTTTGGCAGTATGGAGATAGATTTGTTCGAGATACGAAGATATGGAGATAGATAGTTGTGTTCATTGCACAGAGAGTAAAGCCTTCAGTTCCAGTTATGGTTTCGGATATTCCAGTGGCGTCTGGTTCCACAAATTTTAGTGTATTTTGTTAGTGAAAATCCAGGTAACTTTTGATCAAATTTTAAAGTAAAGACAGACAATTTGTTTTAAATTAAATAATTGCTTTCGTTGACATTTAAAATTGTAAATTTTAGATTTCGAGTTGAGCTGTCAATTTGTGTGTTTAGTTTTTTTTTTGAAATTTAATGTTAACTTATGACAGCTCGTTTTTTATTATTTTTTTGGTTATTAGTTTGTTTTATTTTTAAACAAGGTTAACCTCCATATAAATTTGTAGTTTTATGTAGTATCTCCAACTCCTGGAGTTTGTAAGCGGATGACACGTAAGTTTTGTATTTTGTATTTCTCCATTTTGTAACTGTTTGTGGTGACACATAAATAAAGGTTAAATTTTGTTGTCTTAACTTTTTATTTATTTTTTTGAGCCAAACCTTTTTTGATTCTTATTTGAAAAAGATACGTTTTTTATGTTTTGATTTTGTTTTCTAATTATTTTCCTAGTTACAACTAGTGTTTGTAATAGGTATAATTAGGCACCTCAAGTGGCGCCCTATATTAAATTCCTTGAGGTGTTTTTTGTTTATTTTTATTTTGTTTATTCCAAAAGATTAATGACCCCCTTTATTTCATTTTTTTTGTAGTTGCCCCATTCCAATGCCCTTATCCTTTACTTATCCACGACCCCAGCTCTCCTACGAAACCCTGAGTGCCGTTCGCATCAGTAGCGATTATTTTGCTTGCCCTATCTCCACCCCCAATAGTTTCTCCCCCCAATTTTCTACCCTTTGTATTATTACCCCATGTGGTAGGCAAAATATCATCGTTACAATTGTCTTTGTTATATTTCTAGTGTCCATACTCCGTCTTCTTGTATTCTTGCACTTGTCCCCATCTCAGTTTAGGTATGCCTCTGATTCTTTACCTGGTGTAACTAACTGTACCTCAATGTGTCCATACTATCTAATTTTCTGCTAATCTTGCTCTTCTTCCCTTGCTGTTAACGTAAATGTCTTTGTTAAATATACCACTATTGGTCCTATGATCGTTTTGTAGATTTTTATTTTTGTGTTTCGGCTTATAAGCAGTTTTTCTTCTGTTTCTTGCAATTAATTATTGACCTTCACAATACTGTTAAAACTGCAAGGTTTTTTATGACTTGTCACTTTTCACTTTGTTAACGAGTTTATGTATGTTAAAGTGGTCATGTTTTTCTTCCACACCTGTCTAGCAGTCACTGTTCTTTAGCTTTACGACACTCTTTTCGTATTTCTCAGTTAATCTGCTGATGTTTGGGTCGGTCTTTGTTTTTAAATGATCTGCGATCGTCCATCATTGAGAATATTTCGTCAGTCATCCAATTCTTCTTTTTGTACTTTTGGGAAGCGATCAGAGACTTGGTGGTGATTACGATAGCTTTTTTAATACAGTTCCATCTGTCTTATATACTGGCCGGTTGTTTATATCTTGCTGTGATATCCGCTATTGCCTCATTTATTATTTCTGTGGCTTTTAATTTAACGTTAGGTGATTTTAAGATGTTTTATATCAATTTTCTTTGTGGATTTTCTTTTAATTTCTTAAGCTTAATTTTCAATTTTCCTATTAAGGGATTGTGATCAGATCCGATATCCGTTCCAGGGTACGTTTTTACTCCTTGCAATCCATTTCTGTATCTCTGATTAATCAATTTGATTTCTTGCGATGTTGTCATGCGTATGTTGTAGAGACTGCCAGGTGTAGAGTCTCCAAGGTGGCAGTTTGTACCAGAGTGGATCTACCTTTTATGAAACCGTACTGGTAATCTCATATGCTTTGTTCTGTGCATTCAGTACATTAATTGCTCGCTAGTTTTTATATATTCTATGGTCTCCTTATTTTGGGATTGGCACTATAATTCCCTTTTTCCATTCTTTGGGCACTATTTCCTTACTCCATATATTATACATAAGTTCATAAACCTTTTTGTATAGTGCCTTTTCTCCGAAGCTGCGTTCCCGTTTTTTAGTTTGTATATTTTATCTTTCACTTCTGTATAGGTCAATTCTTTTCTTTTTTATCTTGTTCCATATTTAATATTAATTATCTTACTTCTTCTCTATCCGTTTGTTGACATATTTTTTAAAATACTCCTTCTTTAGCTACATTATCCGTCCGTGTCCGGTTATCTAGTTTTAAATATTGGTGCAATGATTTTAAATTGTGTCTTTTATTTTACGAGACTAACACTAAAAACTACAGGAATCACACAGATCAACGACGGATGAATACGGACATATAAAAAACTGCATGAAAGACGCAGCGTTAGAAGCCTTAGGGCCACAGGTGCGGAGAGTAGATAAACCATATTGGTGGGATAAAGAAGTGGAAGAAAAGATAAAAAGAAAGAAGGAAGTATATCAAAAGTTATTACAACAGGGAGACGAACAAACAAAACAACAATATAAAAACTTGAATAAAGAAGTCAAACGAGAAGTCGTTAAAAAGAAAAATAGTGTATGGGAACAAAACTGCCAATACCTAGACAACCATATAGGAGGGACAAAGAGCTCTGAAGCCTGGAGAACTATAAAAACGATGAGAACAACGACAAAAAAACAAGTCATAATAAAGAATACCAGAGAACACATGGGTAGAGCATTTTGAGAACTTATTAACAGAGAGAAGAGAAAGGTTTTAACAGACAAATGAACAAGTGCAAGTAGAAGGAAGAATAGAACTATCAATAGAATAAGTGAAAGAAGCAGTTAAGGGAATGAAATTAAGAAAATCTCCAGGCCCAGGCGGAATACATCCAGAGTTGATTAGATATGGATCATCAAAACTGCTTGAAATAATCCGAAAATTATTCGAAAGATGCTTAAACAGAGAAGAAGTTCCAGAAGAATGGAGACAATCGTATATCTCTCCAATACACAAGAAAGGCACAAAAACGGATCCTAAAAACTATAGAGGGATCGCAGTGATTGCTACTATAGGCCGATTATATTCAAAAGTACTGAGAAACCTGATAGAAAATAATATTAAAGATAAACAACCCTAAGAACAAGCGGGATTTAGGGCCGGACGCTCCACTATGGATAATATCTTCACATTAAAAATTGCAATGGACAAACGAGTGCAGAAAAACCCATATAGCTTTAATAGACCTGGAAAAAGCATATGATAGTGTACCGATCTCCCCACTATGGATAGAAATGGATAACTTGAAAATAAACCCAATTCTTATTAACGCCACTCAAAAATACAACGAACAAAACTTTGCAAGAATTAAAATGGGACAAGAAATCAACTCTTTTCAAACAATAAAGGGACTAAGACAAGGCTGCTGTCTGTCACCCACCTTATTTAAAATCTATTTGGACAGATCCTTAGTGAAATGGGTAAAAAAATGTAGAAACATGGGAATAACGGTGGAAGAAAACACGCTATATACACTTTTCTTTGCGGATGACCAGGTAGTAATTTCCGAAGATAGCTACGATCTTAGCTATATGGTAAGAAAACTGCAAGAAGAATATGAGGTGGCAGGTCTAAACATGAATATGACAAAATGTGAATATCTATCAGTGGGAACAGATGAAATATGTGACCTAGTCTTGGAAGATGACAAAATCAAAGGCGTACAATCCTGCAAATATTTGGAGGTCATTTTCAATAAGACGGGGAAATAGCGCAGATGAAATCAGGGAAAGAATAAACAAGGGTAGAGCAGCGACCCGTGCCTTAAACTCTCTTCTCTGGCAAAAAACAATTCGACGAGAAACCAAAAAACATATTTACGGTAGTATAGTCCAAAGTATTATACTTTACGGTTCGGAAGTATGGGACGTAACCAAAGCTAATAAAAACAAACTTATGACGACAGAAATGGATTATCTGAGACGAAGCTGCGGTAGATCGAAACTAGAAAGAGTTAGGAACGAACAAATAAGAAACGAAATGAAAACGGAGCGAAATATCAATGATGACATAGAAAGAAAACAATGAATCTGGTTCGGACATGTTAAAAGAATGCCAGAGTACAGATGGCCTAAAAGAGTACTGGAATGGATCCCTCCTGAAAGAAAAAAGAGAGGACGACTACGGAGAAGTTGGCGCAACGATATTGATGAAGCAATGGCGGCAAGAGACTTAGAAGAGGCAACTGTATATGACAGAAAAAGATGGAAATTGGGGGCGGAGAAGCGGCGACAGCCGTAATCAATCCATTATTATATATTTTACGTCTCTATCTTGTTCATAATTTCTTTTACTTTTTTATACTATTTTAAAAATAAAAAAAATTAATATCTTACCCTGTTCTTCAGTTTTGGTTTTAAAAAAGGCTTGAATAGCTGCCACACCATGTTAAATACAAAAGGTTCTTTAACCATATGAACTTCTTTTAATCTCAAAGGCATCGCTTCTTGGATGAAGGTCAGCAAAAGAAGACTGAATGCGGGTCCCAGTCCACGGACTTGTTTCATTCCCATACCGTCGTAGTCCATGATAACCACCACGCCCCTAACTTGCGTATTGGGTTCCAACACTGCCATTTCGTGGATGAGATAGAACATGCGGAAGATTTGATCTGACGTTACTTTTGATGGATCCCATGTTTCTAAAAGATTTAAATAATATATTTAGTTATAGTACAAAAATTTGGTAGTTAAAAAAGAAATATCAAATATCAAGCAAGATAACTGAATACAGATGGAGTGAAGGAGTTGCATCTTGTAGCTGCTTTACTTGGTATTTTTTCCGTTGTTTTCCCATTCTTGGTTCGGGAATTTCTTGCTTAAGTTTGACTATTGGTTATATATGGTCATTGTCGGCATCTGCTCATCTGTAGCTTCTACATTTAGTCATGAATCTATTCTATTTTCTTTCAATGAGAAAATGGTCTATGTGGTTTCTGCTATTCTCTGCAGAAGAGATTCCCGTTATTTTCTGTACATCTTTACGATCAAATTGTGCTCTTACTATCTTCAGGTTATGTTTCCTTGAAAATTCTATTTGTATTTTTCCATTGACATTTCTTTCTTTATGCAGGCCTTTGTCATCTATTATATTCATATAATATATTCTCTTCCTACTTTCATATTATATTTTGGTACTGTTTTAATCAGCTTATAGAGTTGTTCATGGAATTCATTTTTTTTTTTTTCATGTCTTTCTTTTCTGAAAGAGCATTTGCGTTAATTAATAACAAGGTATCTCTGAAATTGCTTGAAAATCAATTACCGTAAAACGGGGTTACATTGAACAGTTTTGCAATGAAGATTATATTTTTCTACAAGTTGGCCTAAACTTTTTTTTGGGGCCGATATATTTTTTTGAGGGTTGCAAATATGTTTTTCTTGGACTTCCTGATAAAATTTCTGGCAGGTTATCAAAATTAACAAAAATGAAATAAAAAATGGTGTCTGAAATAAAAGGTAGTAAAAAAAAATCTCTCAAACTTTGGTCTGCAGTCGGCGATATGCAAAAGATATCTTCTCATGACTAATTTTACACGATACTAGTACCTATTTGAACCTTATTCTACATAATACCGTAAATGATTAGGGTTTTGAATATTTTTAATTAATTTATACAAAAAATATGTCAATTATTTTGGGAACGTGGGGTAACATTGAACGGCAGGATTGAACGTGCTTGGGCGGCGTCAATCGAGTTCCATCTAAATATTATTGTATGGCGTTACGCTACCTCGTTTTGAATCATTTGAATGAAATTCACTCAGCTCAGAGCTCAGTATAACATTGGTTGGCTTGGCGGTAGGAACATTGTGTGGTTAGGAAATTCAGTTGTGGTGCAATAGGTAGTGTAGTGCGATAATCTCAGTTCAAAATGCGTGATTACGTTAGAAAGTTGGGTAGTCGATCATACAAAAATTACACCTCTGATACTTTAGATCAAGCAATCCGCGAAATTAAAACAAAACAGTTATCACTTTCCAAGGCGTCGAAGAAATACAAAATCCCAAAAGGAACATTAAGTCACAAACTGAACAACAAAAAAATGAAGGACATCGGAAGGCCCACAGTTTTAAACAACGACGAAGAAAAGGCACTGGTCAAGATGCTTTTGAAAACCGCTAAATGGGGCTTTCCTTTGACTCACGACGATTTACGACATGTTATGAAAAGCCATTTGGATACAATGGGTAAGAGAGTTAAGCAGTTTAAAAATAATTTGCCTGGTATCGATTGGATTAAAGGTTTTCCGAAAAGAAACAGAGAAATAAATGTAAGAAAATCTCAAAATATAATCCCAAATAGAGCATCTTCCACTAGAGAAGTTTTCATTGCTTATTTTGATAACCTTGAGCAATGTCTAGACGGAGTTTCCCCCGATTGTATATACAATTTCGATGAGACAAATTTATCGGATGATCCTGGGTCTGCAAGATGCTTTTTTAAAAGAGGGGTTAAATATCCAGAACGTTTATTATCTCAATCAAAATCAAACATTTCTTTGATGTTTTGTGGAAGCGCTTCAGGAGTTCTGCTACCTCTGTATGTAGTCTACAAAGCAGAAAACCTTTGGACAACTTGGACGGAAGGAGGACCCGATAAAACCAGATACAACCGACCAGCTCATGGATGGTTCGATTCTGCAACATTTTTAAATTGGTTTACTTCTGTTTTCCTTTATTCCACGAGACATGAAGAAGGAGTCAAAGTATTAATCGGGGATAACTTGACAAGCCATTTTTCTGAGCAAATTATCAGACTATCGGTTAAAAATAATATTCGATTCATATGTTTACCGCCGAATACTACGCATATCGCTCAACCCCTAGATGTCGCGGTGTTCGCACCACTGAAGAAACAATGGCGTGCAATACTCAGCGATTATAAGTTAGCAATGGGATCAACTGGTCTTCCAAAGATGTTTCCAAAACTTTTAAAAAAGCTGATGTTTAAATTCGCAGAAACTGGTGAACAAAACCTTCAAAGTGGCTTTCGGGCAACGGGTACATACCCTTTAGACATAAATCAAATATTAAAGAAATTGCCTGGTACTGATGATACTGAATCAAATGAAAGTTTTGGAAACAGTTTAAACGACACAGTTTTACAATTTTTACAGGGTATTAAGAACAAAAAAAGAGCTAGAACTCAAAAAAAAAAGAAAATTAACATCGCACCGGGTAAAAGCATTGGATTGGAAGATTTTGAAATAGGAGAAAGTTCTAGATGTTCTGCACCACCCACGAAGAATAAGAAAAAGTCTGCTAAGGAATTGGATAGTGACAGTTCCGACTACGAACTGGAGCTTTAGGACGAATCTGATTGTGATTTCGAGACATTTTGTGATGAAATGCACCAAGAAAAGAACGAGGAGATCGAAAGGCCAACAGGGGCTGCAGTCGTCGACGACTATGTGCTCGTAAGATTCGCAACCAAAAAGATCTTGAAATTTTTCGTTGGTCTTATAAAAGAAAAACTGCCTGATGGAGATTATGTGGTCAAGTTCCTGAGAATTGTGAAGAATTCTGCCTTCTATTGGCCAGAGGTAAATTTTTCAGTGCATTTTGCATTATACCAAAATCGATTGTTGATTTATTTTCAGATAGACGACATTTCAGTCGTAAGTTCTTCAGATTTTGAGAGACTTCTCCCAGCTCCAGCTGAAGACCGTTGCGGAAAAGTGGTTTTTTCGATCCAATTTGATGGGTATACTCTGGGCTAAAATCCTTCTAAAGACTGTCGTTTATATGTTTCCCTTATGTTTTGTCATTTGACTTGAAAATTACCAATTTCTTTAGTTTGAAATATGATTTTATAAGACTATGTAAAAGAATTTAAAGTTTAATAAAAAAGAATGTAAAAAAATATTTTGTCAATAAATATAACCATTGAGAAAAAAAAACAAACAAAACTCTCCCCACTAGTTTTTTCCGCTTGTTTCACTGGCGGGGTTAAATTGAACGAATAACTAACCTGTGGGCTCGTAGACACCGATTTATACTACTGTTCAATGTTACCCCGTACCCGGGGTAAAATTGAACAGCAACTTTGTTATAGCTATTTTTACATAGCTACGCCCAAGAGATAATCTAACGTATGTAACGTCATGCTTCTATAGTGACCCATAAGTGGTATTTTTTTTGTTCGATTGAGCAACAGATACAAAACTTATTCAACAAAATATGAAGAAAATGTGCAATGTAACCCCTTTTTACGGTACTACTCGGTTTATTCTCTGTGACACCATAAAACCCATCCTCAGGTATCTATTTAGCCCGTCGTTTTTAAAAAGAGTTATTTTTCCAACTTTCACTATCTCACTTCGTAGCTGCTTGGTATCTTGTATTTCATTTAGATTTCTAAATGCTTCTTCCTCGTTGGTCTTTGCTAAGTTTCTTGTTTCCAGTTTCAATCAATTTTTAATTCATTTCCTTTTTTTGCAATCTTCTTTTACTTCAGCTAAAATTCTCGACTTTATCGCAGCCATGTCGGTATCATTTTTCTTATGTTGCTTACAATTTTCTTGTCATTTAGCAATTTGGCATTGAAAAAAAAATTATCTTTAATATAAAGTTAAACCTCCTACTGAACATGAGCATGCTCCTCTACGAGTATTGTTAAATAATACTGTTATTATCCAGTTGTAGTAAATTTGTCCATTCTGTTATAAGAAGCTTCCGGAAGTGAAATGTATTGTGAATGTTGCTAATATGTAGAGTACTTCCTTGTTAAAGCATGTAACATACATGTGAAATGTTGTTATGGTCGTGGCAATACGTTAATTCCCTTGTTGGTCAACCAGTTTGACACAATAGGTGCGACATATTGATGAAAATTGTCATAATATTTTTTCTTTTTTAGTCATAACCGAAACAGTAACAGAACATTAAGGGAAAATCTACCCTCTCTTCGATGGCTCTACCTCCCAAGTCAGGCCCTTGAATCTCACAGCATCTGCCTCAAAACATCTCTTTCCTTGACTGCTCTCCTCCAGTTATAAGGTGACCTGCGGTGACCTACGGAATTTTTAAAGTTTTGCATAATTTGCTATAGAAGGTTCTTTGTAATATTGATATTATTCGTGGTTAAACCTTAACCTCCTCTTACCATTGTTGGGAGAGCCATTTCCCATAAATGGGAGCCATCTCCCATTTATGGGAGACGGCTCCCAATACCGTTCTTCTTCTAAGCGTTTTCATCTCTGCTGTTTCTAACATCGGTTTTGTCCTCTTTGTATCAGGTCTTGTTTCTGTCGCGTATGTCATTATTGGTCTGATGACTGTTTTGTAAATTTTGCTTTTCCTTTCTTTTCCGATACTTTTATTTCTCCATATTGTTTCATTTATGCAGCCTGCGGCTCTGTTTGCACTATTTACTTGATCTTCCACTTCGGTTTAAACTTTATCACTTGTTCTATTATATGACCTTCGAGCTCCAATTTACATCTTAGTAAATTTTCTGTTGTAACCACGCATTTTGTCTTTTTTGGGAACATTAACATGTAAAATTTTCTGGCGGTTATATTAAATTGGTGCAGCATACGTTGTAAATCATCTTCACTTTGAGAGAGTGATGTTGCGTCGTATGCATAGCAGATTATTTTAAGTTGTTTTTCTCCCATTTGGTATCCTTTTTTATTTCTTACTTATTTATTATTTCATCCAAAACCAGGTTGAACAATAGAGGACTCAATGAATCTCCATGTCTTATCCCATCGCCAGCTTTAATACGGACGGTTAATTCTTCTTCTAGCGCTTTTGTAAGGTCCACGAAAGACGAAACATAGATATGCCGGGTCGTTGTATTCTAATGATTGCTCTTGCACTTGCCTTATTATAAATATAGCGTCGTTGGATGATCTTCCCTACCTAAAACCTTCTAATACCCTTCTTTATATCTTTATTTCAATAGTATTAAAAAGTTCATTGTTTTTTCATGATCCATGTTTCTGCGCCATATGTTGTTATGGGTAGTATAATGATTTTATATATTTTATTTGGTCTAAGTGTGTTAATGCAAAGATGTTTGGATGTAAACCAAAACCTTTACGTAGGTTTCATAGATTTTGAGAAGGCCTTCGATAAAGTCAGACACCAAAAGCTGTATGAAATCCTAAGAAGCAAAAACATCGGCAGTCGCGACATTAACATCATATACAGGTTGTACTGGGGACAAACAGCAAAAATCAAAGTTAATAATGAGTTAACCAAAGAAATTGAGATTCGTCGAGGTGTGCACCAGGGTTGTGTGCTTTCTTCACTGTTATTCAATATATATAGCGCAACAATATGTCAGGAAGCGTTCCTAGAGAAAAACATTGGTATGAACATTAACGGAGAGTTAATTAACGATATACGATACGTTGATGACACGCTAATAGTAACAGATAAACTAGCAAATTTACTGTTTTTGATGGAAACATAAACACCCATAGCAATAAGTATGGTCTAAAAGTGAACATCAAAAAGACTAAATTCATGATTGTAACAAAGAAGCTATACAACAATGTGAATTTAACCATAAATAATCAGCCAGTTAAAAGAGGTACGTCCTACAAATATTTAGAGGTTTGCTTCACTGATACTAATGACCAGACAAGAGAAATCAAGAGGCAAATAGAAATAGCGAGACAATCGTTTATCGAAATGAAAAAGTTACTATACAACCGGGACAAAAATATAAACTTAAGAACGAGAAAGTTAAGGTGCTATATCTTCTCTGTACTGCTGTACGACATGGAAGCCTGGACACTGAAAAAGGTAAACATCAAAAACATTGAGGCATTCGAGATGTGGTGTTACAGGAGAATCTGGAAAATACCTGGACAGAAAGAATAACAAATCAAGATGTTCTGCTGAAGATGGGGAAGGAATGCGAAGTCATAAAAACCATACAAACGAAAAAACTGGAATATCTGGGCCACATAATGAGAGGAAAAAAGTACTCTCTGCTTAGACTCATAATCCAAGAAAAAATCTCGGGAAAGAAAAATGTGGGACGTAGGAGGATTTCCTGCTTGCGAAATTTAAGGGAATGGTATGGGTGCAGTTCAATACAGTTGTTCAGAGCTGCAGCCAACAAAGTAAAGATTGGTGTGATGGTAGCCAACCTCCGATAGGAGACGGTACTGCAAGAAGATGATATATTTTGAACTTTATTTCCCTACGGATGTCCTAGATCCAATCACCTGTGACAAGCATTATCCCTTTCATTATTTTCTACCCCTCGCTGCCTTACTCAGTTAGCTGTACGCCGAAGTATGTGAGCTGTTTTACAACTCCAATATTTGCGTCGTCTATTGTTAAAGGTTCGCTATTTCCTTGCTAGTATTAGGGTTTTAATTTTATTTATATTGACGGCTAGTCCTATTTCTTTTGCATATTCTTCTAGCTCCACATCAATATCTGCGTCTACATCGTCTGCTTAGATCACAATCTATTATACATATATTAAACAGAGTCAGAGCTAGCCCATCTTCCTGTTTTAGCCCCTTAGTTATCTATAAGGGATCTGTCAATTGGTTTTGGACTCATATTTGCGATTCTGTGTGAGTCATAGTGGCTTGAATTAATTTTACTTATTACCTTGATATACCAAATTCTCGACTAATTAAGTATATTTTATCTTTGGTGATATTTTCATAGGTTTGTCTAAAATCTACAAAGATTTGGTAGATATTTTTATCGCATCCCCGAGTTTTAGCTAATATTTAATTTACGTTGAACAGCTGGTCAATAGTAGATCGTCCTGGTATGAATTCGGACATGATTTGCTCTGTGAAGTAACTAAATCTCCTGTTTATGATCTACATAGAAAATTAATCTACAATTTGTCAAAACTAGGAATGACTAAAATTACAGGAGATGTTTTAGCAGGACTCTTTCTCTCCGAATACTTTCCTAGTCTGTTCTTTGCGCCAGCGTGCAAACTTTTGAAAATCATTCCTTGTCTTGACGAATTGTACATAAATAATTGAAAATCATTTATATAAAAATGTGAAAATATTATATTGTTAATACCTCCAGCGAAGACGAGAAGCACTCTTCTGCCTTTGTGGTCCAAATTGGTCAATATATTCACTACATTATGTTCTGTTAAAGCAGTTTTCTCATCATCAGGCATCAAATTTTCTAAAATACCTTTATGTTTTTCTTTAAATTCAGCTATTCTCTTCATCTAAAAAGTAAAAAGGCAAAATAAGTCATCATATTAATCAGATATGTTTTATTTCAATTAACCGCAGCAAGTTTTCTACATGATACTGCTAGTTAATTGTTAATATCAATAATCCAATGATAAAGTAATATTTAAAATCTACCTTCCACTGAAATGTATGAAAAACTCGTTTAAGTGTTTAGTTTGTTAAAAAAATGAGTTTAATGTTGCCATAAAGGTGTGTATTATTTTAAGTGTAAAATATACAGGCAACATGACAAAGGTGACAATTCTTGGGCTGAGAACAAGAGATCTAGAGATAAGCGACAAGTTCTTACGACCTTCTGGTCATTGTCGATCACTTCTTCGGGAAAGAAGAAGAGATCTAGCGATAAGCGACCACTTCTTACAAACCTTTGGTCATTAACGATCACTTCTTGTAGTTCTTTTACACCCCCAAGGTCAAAGAGGCTTGTATCGTCCTCGGCATCGGAGACCCTGATGGACAGGTTACCAAAGTGGGTTTGAGCCCCGCTTGCTATGCTACTTCTATTAATTCTTCTAAGAGAAGTCTGAATGGTGTCTTGTTGCACAATGGTAATATTTATGCCTCAGTGCCTGTTCACTCCGTGCATTTCAAAGAAACATATGAGAATCTTGAGCTGTTGCTAAATAAAATAAAGTATAGCAAATATTGTTGGCAACTCTGTGGACATCTCAAAATAGTATCCATGCTTTTGAGTCAGCAGTATGGATTCACAAAGTATCAAAGAAGACAAAATGCAGTTTTCATGAAAAAAGAGAACGGTTTCATTCAAAAAAAAAACCAAATATTGTCTAACAAACGTTATACTGAATTCTTTTTTTAAGACCGACCTAATTGTGCAGTATAATTTTGTTTTAAATAAAGTTTCAATAAAGCATTGGCAGTTTCTATCAAAAATTTAAAACATTCTTTTCTTAAAAACCTGATGTGCTGGAAAAAAACTAAGTACAAGTTCGTGATCATCACATCCCATTTACTATATAACATCTATTATACTTAAAACACTTTTTCATGAAAAAAGAATATAGGCCCGTGAATTGAATTAAATATGGCCCACAATATGTCACGAAATCTTCGTAATAATTAGTTCTAGATTTCAAAAAACAATTACTATCTAACTGGGAATAAGCCACAATTAAAGATAAAAATACGTTTATTGACGTTTCAATTTCCACTTCGGAAATCGTTCTCAAAATACAAACAGTAAATTAAACAAATTCTGTTTTTTTGTTACATAGTGAAAAATTCTTCTAATAATTTAATTTTATCTGACTCATTTATATTGACAATTCAGACATACATTATGCATTTTAAAGTAGACGACTTTAAAATGATATTGCCACTATTGTTGAGTTGCGCTCCTGGGACAACTTTACTTATAAGATAGTTCATTCGATTACATGAAATCAACTTTAACTTGAGAATATCCGTCAGAAAAAAATCATAGCATGTAATTCGTCTTTAAAAAGACAAACACGTGACATGATGACAGTAAAATTCTCCTGTTTAGTGATAGCATAGTAAATTATGAGGGAAAAACCAGGAAAAAAACCTCATAATACTATCCCGACATGGTAAGTATTTGTTCGTGCATTTAGTTTACCTTCAATAAACACCAACATTCTGATTTTATGTTTCATTATTTAAAAAACATAAATGATGTATCCTCTATATGTTACTGACTTACTAATACTGCTATTTTCTTATTAATAACTTCCTCTTTCAATATTGGTAACCAGATCCTACCTTTTTTTCCATCCGTTTTTTTTTAGGACTACATTTGAATTATTCCATTGAACCCTATGTTCATTATCCCATGCGTGTTTACATATTTGAGATCTATCAAATTCTCTATTTTTAATATAAGATTGATGTTCACTTATTCTAACATTTATTGGCCTTGATGTTTCACCTAAATAAAACTGATCGCATTCACAAGGTATTTTATAAATGCAATTCCCAGTTAGATAGTAATTAATTTAAAATGCCACAAGAAAATAGCTTCAGAACAATACTCAAAAAACAAGGATAATATAGTATTTAATTTTCAACAAACTATTTACTTATATAAAAAAAACCTTTCAATGTGAATTGTTTGAATTTTTTATCGGCGATAAGAAATATATCACCAAAAGTTATTTGACTGATACGACAAATCTGACCTTTCTTTATCTCCTTGGGTGTCAATTTCGACGGTAATACTTAAAATATTTGGTCATGCTTGGCTTGTTTAACGGTTCAAATTATGATTGAGGATGAAACTATTAGGGTGAAACAAACATTTGTTATTGCGTAAGATAATATATTAAAACATTAGAATTTTAAATAATATTTTTTGTAATAATTACACAAAAATGGGCCACAAATTTAACAAACGATATATACGATGTATTAACATTTTGTTATACGTAATTCGAAAGATAAAACCGATGGAAACATTATGTAATTGATTACCACTATAACGAATTGTTGATAAATATTTATAAAAAATAGATAAATAAGCATGAAGTTGCACAAATACGTAAACGATCTTTTTCTTTGGACTTTATGAAATTTTTGGTATTAAATAATCTATTTTGTTCATTGTGTACAAAATAGCTGCAAGAGGAACTAACTTCTTTAACCAAAATAAGGCAAATAGTCAAGAAACTACAAGAAGTACAGAAAAGTTAATCCACGTCTAAAAATAAGTAAAAAATGGTACAGTAGGCCATATTTTAGACTAGCTCGAAGCTTCATACTATGTTTTTTGTATTTTTAACCCTTAACTACGCTCATGGGATTCACGCTAGTCCCACCTAAAGTGTAAAGTTTTGCAGTCGTCGTATTTTTCTTCCAATTAACAAATACGTCCATCCACGATACACTTACACAAGTGTATCGTGCGTCGATCTAATCTACATAGGCATAGGCATTAGTATTTGTTAAAATACCATAATTCCCGCCTTGATTTTAAAAGTGACATATGCCATGTCACATTGTAACTATAGAATAATGTCAGTATAATCGACTTGTTTTGTTTTTATTAAGGTATTGTAATGGCCGTTGGCTATCAACATTCTTATTATTAAAAGTATTCAATAAATAGTGAAATATTATTTGTTTTACTGCTTCGAATCCAGTATTCACTTCAAGTTATGGGCCCAGTTATGTGCCAGTAATGAAATAGTTTGTGATTTGAACATTCGAAGGGTAAACAGGAATTTGGATCTTGGAATTTTCGAACTCTGAAAACATGAACGTGATCAAAACAAAGAGCGCAGTGGCAGTCAATCTACAGGCACAGAATAATAAACAAACAGAATGCCCACTCTCCACGGAAAATTAAGTACGCGCATCTCCTTCGCGCAGACGTTGCGCCATGTTTTACGAGGATTTTAAAGGGAACCAGTGTTGTTTATGTGGTGTGCATGGAAAAAAAACCAGGTTTATTTGACTTACGGCAATCATAGACATACTATACAATTATATTAACAGTTTTAAATATAATAACATAATGGTTAACCATTCTTACTGGACTAAATGAATTTGAATAAATATAATATAATTAAACATAAATGTAAACAATTGCATAACCTCACAAATCATATGTTTGTGTCCTCCTAAAACATGGCGCGCGTGCTGAAAAACTGCAAAGGCGGCATCTGAGAGTGGCCCTTCTGATTGTTTATTATTCTGTGCTACAGGTAGCAAATTTTAAACAATTTGAAGTTACATGGAATTAATTTTGGAACAAAATGATTTGCTGGAAATTTTACAAAAAGACATAATTGATGACACCTTAAAAAAGAATGATGCTAAAGCAAGGAATTTTATAGTGCAATGCTTAGCAGATAATGTGATACAGACCGTAAAAGAGAAAAAGACAGCCAGAGATATGTTCAATACTTTAAAAGACATATTTGCAAAAAGGTTTGTCTGTTCAAGTTGAAATTCAACATAAATTAAGAAATATGAGGTATGCTAGTGTAAAATTAACATGTGATATAATAATTTTTGAAAACACAGTGACAGATCTGAAGAATAGTGGTGGAAAAATTGAAGAACCCGAAATTGTTTCACAATTGTTAGCTGCTATGTCGGAGTCATATCAAGCGACAGTCACAAAAATTGACATTATTTTCAGTCAAGATCCAACTAGAATTGATTTTAATATGGTGAAAAATAAACTCTTACAGAAAGAATCTCGTCAAGGAAACTCTTATAAAAATAATGAAGAATCCACAGCAGTTTTCTTTGCTAATATGAATCGATATCACTATGGAAGTCAACAGAATTCCCAACAGGTCACATATGGTCCTAGAAATCATATTAAAGAAGGACGATGGAATGATGGACCACAGTCAAATAGACAATATTCAGTAGTGGGACAAGGACTGGGCAATTTTCGATTTAAATGCTAAAAGTGATGTAAAACTGGACATAAACTCGGTTCGCTATTCCCAGTCCGAACTGTCTAGTGAATTTAGTAATTATTTTTTTGCGAAGTTAGTTACTTTTTGACAGACTAAAAGTGGCTGGAAATTACTATACAACCAAGCACACGTACTCATAGCTAATATTAATAGTAAACAAACTAAATAGTAAATAAAATAGAACTTTGCGAATTACCGGCAATCAATATTTATTTATCTGCACCATATAACAAATAGTTATGTTAAATTATAACAACCAAAATATAATTTTTAAATATATACTACCCAAAATTTGATGGGTTTAGTATACACTTCCACTATTTAGAATAATTCTTCTTTTTTCAATGAAAGAAGTCTGCAATAGTAGTATACTTGAGCTATTAATACTGAGAAGTAGGAATTGTTGTGTTGTAGGTTTCCGACAATGAATCTGTCAAAATATACCCGAGCTAAGCGAATGGAGTATAAAAGAAATGAGTGCATGGAACGTCGGCCTGTTAATAGTGCAAGTGATCGGTCCAAATCAGGTTGAAGAAGAAATTTCATTTCTTACTGGACTA